TTTATTATATACTTTTCTTATATGTAGTTAACTTTTTTTTGCAAATTTTTTCGAAGCCAATTTATTTAATATATATGCTCATAAAGACGAATACAAACGCGTATATTTCTCAATATTTACTTGTTTTGGAGGATTTTTCTGTTCCCTAGCCATCAAGGAGGTGTCCTCAATGAACGGATATTACGTGTTGCGCGTCGATGTGCTGCCGACAACGTAAATTAGACCCATAGCGAGCACTGCAAATTGTACGGCTTTCGCTTGAAAGAAAGTCTGGAAATCGAGAACCCCAAATTATAGGACCAACCATTTTTAAATCTTTATCTTTGTTTCTTTTTGGTATTCACCTTTCTAATATAAAGCGGCAACGTCTCCTTGCCTTTATGGGCATGCCAATCAAATCCGCGATACAGCCAAACTGTTGGCCAGGCTAAGGCGGCACTAATAAGAAATGGTGAGGCAGCTTCCATTGTCGCTTCAATATCTCGTCTGTGCATTAGGCGGCGCACCTCCTCGCCTAGGTTAACATCACGCGGCGCTAATTTTATTAAAGGGTACAAAGCGTTATTATTTTTTTTAATTTTCATCTTTTTTTTTTTTGTAACTCACCACTTTCAAAATAGCGTTGTTGGGTACTCTTTTTTTGAAATAAATTTTCAAAGATTCCCATTGTGTTCCAAGTCTTGGGCTGCTATCGACGCGCTACGATTTTTGGAAAAACAAAGTTGCACTAAAAAGTTGAGTAGCCGACGGGAAGCTTAAGTTTGGGGTGGTTTTGCTTTAAATTTACTTGACTTAAATTATTTAATCGCGAAACTTTTTGAATGCACTATAATTTTTAGTATTCTACAAAAGGACCAAGAAAAAAGATTTTTTTATTTATTTTTTTTTTTAATTTATTCCAAGAATGATTTTATTTTGAATTTTTACGCCAGAAATTTCAAATGTAAACTATCAGAAATGTGAAATATTTTTCTGTACTGCCTTTTTTGTCGAAAACTATAGTAGTTTTGTTTGAGTTGGCAAACATTAAATTTTTCTTTAAAATTTTTCTGAGTAAATTTAATTGCTGATAAGTGCATTTAATTTGTGATCTGTCGAATTTGGGACTTTTTGTAAACTAAAAAAACGTTAGCTTTCTTCTTCCCCATTTTCTCACAGCCTGGCTCTTAATTTAAGTTTGTTATTCACTCTCAATCAATCAACCGGTCTAGGTTTACCTCTGTAATCGTCTTCGTGGTCGATACCCTTAAGCATATAGTTCACTTTATGTAGAAGAGGACTCTCTTCATATACCGCAAACATTAGACCCAAACTGAGTATAGCAAACTGCATTAACTTGGCTTGATGAAAAGTCTACAAAGAAAGAAAATTCCTATGTCTTAATATCTATACCATTGTTCACAAATGTTTCCCCCATCTTACCCGATTTATATAGCTGACCAAGGAACGTTCCAACGGCGCCCTATTGCTCCAATCCATGCCTCTATACATCCAAAACGCCGGCCACGCTATAAAGCTAGCGAAAACAAATGGTCGCGCTCGTGCCATTTTTGTCTCAAAGTCCAATGGTGCATTATTTTGTATGAAATCCCGAAACTCCGAAGCATAGGATATGGGTTCGGGCTCTGCAAGTGAACAACAACCACACGACGTGGCGATATCTTCCACATCAAGCTGGTCTGTGGCAACAAGCAAGAAATGAAAAGCTCTTGTGATAAAGCTACTGGGCAACTGTAGTAAATTCGTATTAAAGCTACAAAAGTAAAATTAGCTTTTCACGGACTTTTGACATAAACTTGGCACGCTTAAGTGAAAGCTCTTTAAAATTCTTGCATTCTGCTTTCACAAGCCGTCAATTTGTATTGACAGTTATTAATTTTTAATGCAATGCTAAATGTTTCCTTGTTGCCACAGCTATTTTACGTACTCGCTCGCTCTTTTCTTCCTACTAAACTCTTAAAAAAAAAACACTTTGCTCACCTTTGGGTGCCGAGCTGCTAAAGAATGGTATCTTCATTATGGTTTATGTTTCCAAGTGATGGACAACAGTTTTAAGCAATACAATTTGACACAGATTTTAATTTAAATTCGTAGTTAATTTAAATTGACTGCTGATTTTGTTGATTTCAATTTTGCCTGTTTTCTTCTAGTATATGCGCTGGCTCGAAAAACGCATTGCTACACGAAGCTTGTAAAATAACACAAAGAATTTTTACTGCAAGTCTATTTTTTGCCTCTATTTCAAAACGATTTTTTTTAGTTTTCAAAATTGAAATTTCTTTGAATTTTGTATCCAAAGTGACTGCGTTTAAACTTTTGTTGATGTCATTGTCCTTTTTATGAGTTGCATATGTTCAGGACAGGGACCGAGAATGCGTTCTAGCTTTCCCACAAAAAAACCAAACGAGAAAAAAAATTGAGAGCAGTTTGAATGGGAACAAAATGCGTACAAAGCTCTCCGGAACGTTCTCAAGAAGAACAGAATGAGAACGAAACTTTTGGGAACGTTTTTTTTCGGGCGAAACTCGGGATAACGCTGATTATCTTTCAGCTCTTTTTGATTCATTTTAATATTAAGGCATTTCAAACTAATGGAGCACTATGTGAAAAATTGTCTACTCGCTTCAATTCTACGCAAATATTTCAAAGAAGATTTGTTCCCTTTGTGTTCTCGGTTCGAAAGTTCCTGAGACTTTAGTTCCAAAATGGGTATTCCAGAGAAAGTTCCTTAGACCTTTGTTTCCGTTTTTTTTCTTTGCCAGAACGTTCCGGAGACTTTTGTCCTTATTTTGTTCTCTTAGAAATGTTCCCGAAAGTATTGTTCGCATTTTGTTCTCTTTGGGAACGTTCCACAGGGTTTTGTTCTTATTTAATTCCTGTTGAGAACGTTCTATACAATTTTGTTCTCACTTTCGTTCTTGTTAAATCATTCCGCAAGGTTTTGTTCTCATATCGATTTGGGTTTTTAAGCTTTCATGGGAACAAAACTACCAGAACGATCTCGGTGTCTGCATTTGACACATTTTTTTATGACATGACCGCATAAGGCCAGACCTAGGTTCTGAAGCCACAATGAGGCTTTCAATGCTAGTAATGTCATATATACACATATACATATATATGTACTTAGATCATTATTAATTCAACCCATAGGCGCTCCATTTGCATAATCACGTTTTTCCACTTTTTTTTCGCTAAAGAGAAATTGCCTTCAAAGGCATTTCTAACTAGCGAAAATACCATACTTTTTCTTATAGCCACTACTTAGACCCAAATGCTTTTCTATTATAGGCTTAGCGCTTGTGCGAACAATTTAGGTTAATTTGATTTGTGTAATTCGTTTGTTTTTTTTTTACCTAATTCGTCAGTGATTTTAATTACTTCTGTGGCGTTGTTCATGCGTTCGTTTTTTTTTGTGCGTTGTTGAATTGTCGCTGAATTGTCTTTCACTTAAATTGCTGTGAGACATTTTTTGCGTGCGCATTCGTGGGTAATTTTATCATTAGCCAGCTTGTATTTATCAAACGCATAGTAGCCAACCGCATACACACGTTTGGGTGTAGACTCTACAAACATAGCTAAGTAATTTTAAAGTAAAGAAAAAAGTAAATACCTACATTACCTGTGCTGCTATTTGCATAAACATGCACCGAAACTAACTAATTGAGTGAGGTGCTGAGGTTTTTTTTATTCCTACATTAATGCGTAAATTTCTATTTCACGCGCGTGATTGACTTGTTCAGCAACCGTAGAAGTCGGAAAAAAATCATTAAAATAAAAAAGCCAAGCAGCTGTTTCGCATTTTCCATTACTTGATTTTTATCTCTCGCTTTTTCTGATTCAATTACTGTATTTTCTTTGTCTATTCTGTGCCACGAATTTTTTCCCCAAAAAGCGTGTGTTTCTAACGATCGATATATTTATTAGTGTATTTGCTTTTATGTACCGAATTCGGAGCAGTAAAAAAAATTGCGCATTTGCCAAATGTGCTAATAGTTAAGCGAATAAGTCAAATCTGCAAGAAGCATACCATTTGGTAATACTTTTACGTCCTTGTGGGTGACGTGGGTCACTGATTGTGCAGGCTCGTCCAAAAATATCTCCCAGCACCGGTATCGTTATCTGTGTCTAACTTTTTGCCTTAAAATTTTGGCATTAAAAATTTGCATTATGAAATTAAAAAGATGATCTTTATTTTTTCCTGGAGTTTGAAAAAAAAGAATAAGATATTTTCCTTGAACATTATACAAAATTAACCCTTATCGAATGAAACTCGAATATAAATTTTATTTTGAGATTACGATACTCGATACCGAGTATACCGAGTCTCCCTTTTCAATTTATGTATGCAAATAAATTCCTCTCTTCGGTTGTTAGTTTAAATTATTCTTCTTCTTATTTGGCACTACAACCGTTTGTCGGTTTGGGTCGAGACCAAAATACTGCCGCTCTCATTTGCGGATTTACGCTAGTCAGATCATGTTTTGCGTAGGGTCCCTTCCACTACAATGGCAGAAACTTATGGTCCCTACATCCCAAAAGTTGGGGGAAAACAAGCAGACTACCTTAAGTCATCCATCCATGGAGAAATGCAAATAAAAAATTGTTGTGAGTAGCTTTTCAATAGTTCTAAAGTTCCTTGAAAAGCAAAAAAAAAAATACTGCAAAATTACGCCGAAATTTTTGTTACAAAAAAAAAAGCAAAAAGAAGAATGTTTGAAAAAAAAAATAAAAATTAAAACTGTTCTGAATAGGTTTTCAATAGATCTAGAGTTCCTGAAACATTTTTTTTTTCGAAAAAGTTAAATCTTTGAAAAAGTAAATTAAAAATATTCCGAGTAGGTTTTCAATAGTTCTAGAGTTCCTGAAAAGGAAAAAGAAAGTTCTGCAAAACTACGCCGTAAAAAACATTTTTCGCAAAAAAGTCCAAAAAGTTATATTTTTGAAGAAAAAATATAAATTAAAACTGTTCTGAGTAGCTTTTCAACAGTTCCATAGTTCCTGAGAAGGAAACAGGAAGTTATGCAAAATTACTAAAAAAAAACAATTTTTTGGAAAAAGTTAAATTTTTAAAAAAAAGTAAAAATTAAAACTCTTTTACGTGGCTTTTCAATAGATATAGAGTTCTTGAGAAGCATAAAGATTTTTTCGGCAAAATTACGACGAAAAAAAAACAATTTTTTTCGAAAAGTAAAAATTAAAAAAAAATAAAACTGTTCTGAGTAGCTTTTCAATAGTTCTACGCATGGGTCTTAACCAAAAAACTATTTGCAAACATGAGTTTAAAAACATACCACACTAATGCTAAGCTTAGAACAAGTCGATAAGGTTTACCCTTACTGGTATTAATGTACAATATATATGTATGTACATATGTAGAAGAATACAACATATGTATTGCTGACAACTTCATTGAACATGCAACAAAGTTCATAAATCCTAGCACTGTGACACGAAAGAGATACCCATACAGTTTAGTGATACCCATGCGCGAAGGCATCAAAAGCATAAATGTATAACCGAATAATTTATAGTAATAATTTTTTACGACAAAGTAGATAATAATGTTATATGTATGTAATACATAAATGTTAAAGATACAGATATCTACTATGTAACTGACATCAGTTATCCACCGTTGTTTCCTTAAGCTGTTACCAATTTTTCCTCTAATCTCTTCTTTGAAATTTTAAAAGCTTTCTGCACTAAACTTTTTGTCTACTTATCTACAAACATAATTGCTGTGATAAATCGTTGCATTAAGTTAAGTGACAACGAAACGGATTGCTTAATGCCGCATATAATTCCACACAAAGTAAACAAATTCTTTTTATAGTGGTTTTACAATTCTTGCCATCTACTTAATTTGTTGCTGCCTCCGCTGTCGTATCTCCACTCTACTATCAACACCATTTCTTATGCTAAATCAGCTCAATTTCTTTGCTTAGCTTATATTTCTCAGGCATTAACTTCAACACTGGCGCAATGATTTGTTGCAATCACCTGCTTGCTATCCCCGCCACATACAGATATATCTACATACATACATACATACAAACGAGTACGATCTTAGAAAATATGATTTTCTTTTAATTTTTTCTTGTGCCCTTTTCAATTTCCTTTTGTGTACACTATTTACCGGCTTATGCTTGTCGCGGCATTCAGAACGCTCGCCGATTCTTGTTATACCCACAGGCAGAATGCTTTCATGCTTTCAACGCTCAACGCCCTATTGCATTTCCTATTTTGAAATTAGTATTTGTAGCATCTAGTGACCGCCTGCTGTTGCGGTCGGTCACTTGTCTTCTTACGGCTACATATGCACTTGCTTTTTTGAACTCTTCAGCTTCGTGGTAACTCTTGCTTGCGGCTGCTATTGGCCACAATTTAATGAGTTAGCATAGTAAAGGCACGGCATTAGCTGGTAGCGGTTTCAACAGCGCTGTATACCGCCAGTCCAGCCCAGACACAGCTGGATGCTGTGATTTTTAGTGTCCAACAATGAGGCAGGCAATTTTTATATTTTAACCATTTGGTTATTAATGAATTCATTTATTTCTAATTTATATACATACATACAAACGTACCAGCTTAGAATGAGGTCAAGTTAATTTTTTGTATGTGTTTTTGGTTATTAACTTACGCCCTTTTAGCTCAAGGCTAGCTGTATGCCACATCCGTTCTTTCAGTATCTACCAAAAATTTGTTCAAATGTAGGCATTACTTTTGTTGTTTTTAAAAGTGCATTTGAATAATGTGCAAGTAAATATTTTCAAAAGCTTTTACTTGATTCGTAAGAGGGGATATTGAGAATTTGAAGCTGTTAAGGGTTTATTGCTTCTTCAATTATCTTAGAAAAAGCTGGTATTAACAGTACAATTCTGGTTAAGATAGTAAAAAGTCAGTCTCAACATTAGTGTACTCAACATTAGTGCATTAAGATGAGATCTTTTTTGCACAATAATACAAACAATAAAGTATGAATATAATTCCATATTAAAATACGTACAAAAAAGA